GGGGAGGCGGGGAGGGGAAGGGAAGGTGAGGGAGGATGTTGGAATTTAAGGACTGGATTACTTTGCTGTTCAGGGGCCCTGATTTTAGCAGGCTGTCCTGCAGCAGCAGCATAGCTCACTGCAGGTTCTTAGGGTCTGTGAGACAGTGCAAATACACTCATCTATGCCAGGAGATCAGATCCATCAATGGGCCTTCCCTGATTGAGTTGAACTCCAACTTAGTTCAAAAGTCAGAGTGCAAGGTGCCTCTTCCTGTGACATAGGTACTACCCAAATGGGTAGTGCCTTCTCAGGTAAAGCAACTGCACTGTTTAGTGCCTTTTGAGAGATGAAGGGACTAGCTGTAAAGTGGGTGAGGGAGAGAGATACAGCTTTCTTAATAGTTCTGCATGCTTTCCAGACAGGCAATACTAAACAGCACTACTGCAAGGAAGCCTTTTACTGAGAGTTGAGGGAACTCAGGAGCGATATGATTACTGATTAGACTACTAGATTATTTTCAGAGCAGGAACTACTACCTGGATAGTACTGTTGCAGGATTTAAAAAAAAAGGATCATTTATCTCTAGAAATGCAATTTGCAATTGCAGAGTCCAACTTACTTTCATATAATGAAACAGCTCCAATTCCCCTTCTGTTTACTTTCCAGCGGCCCTGAGCAGTGTCTTTAGTAAGCTTCATTTTACAGTAAGAGAATATAGAGACCTCACCGCAGAGGAAATCCGTAAGACTGTGAACATCTACCGGTGCGAAGACCACAAGGACAAAGACTGTTTTGTTTGCTGTATCCTGTCTCATGGGAAAAAAGGCATTATATATGGTGTTGATGGGCAGGAAGTACCTATCCAGGAACTGACCACTTCTTTCACTGGACAGAATTGCCACTCACTTGCTGGAAAACCAAAAGTCTTTTTTGTTCAGGCCTGCCAAGGTGAGGCTTGCCAGAAAGGTGTGTTCATTGAAACAGATTCTGGAGAGCAAGATTCTTCTGTAGAAACAGATGCAAGATTTCAGCTCAACTGCATCCCTGCAGAGGCAGACTTCCTCTTGGGCATGGCTACCCTGCAAGATTATGTTTCCTACAGAAGCGCAAAGGAGGGGACCTGGTACATACAGGCATTGTGCCAGCACTTGGAGTACAGCTGTCCTCGGTAACTATGTTTCCATAAGCTGCTTTTTTTGGCAACACCTGTATTTTCCTTCTGCATGACAGGAGTTTGATTTGGATGCAGAGGTAGATGATATGCAATGGGAGTGCTTGCTCAGAGTGAAAACAGTAATGTAGGACAGAGCAACACCATGCAGATTGTTCGAAGCAGCTTAGCTAACTGCTTTGAAGCCTGTTTAAAACAAGAGCCGTTAGCACTGGTATAGATCAAGATATATGAGAATGTGGTAATTTTTCTGATGTTAACTGCCTCCCTGCTACAAAATGTACTTGTGTTTTTGCAGAGGAGAAGATATTCTCACCATCCTGACAGCAGTGAATCAAGAGGTGAGCAGAAAGAGTTGCAAGCCGAATGCAGAGAAGCAGATGCCACAGCCCAGTTTCACATTGAGGAAAAAGCTCATCTTTCCTGTCACCTGAATGGGAGGGAACTGCATGACAGAGGGAGCTGCAGCAGCCTGGAATGGGCTGGTATCAGCTAAGAATTTGGTAAAACGTAACAGACTTTCAGTGTTTGCTCTTACCAGAAGAGCAAATGTTTTTATTGAAAATACAGCTGAGGAGCAAAAGTCTTGAGAAATTAGTGTTAATATTTATGACACCTTATACTTGAGAGCACTCTGAGCTGGTCTCTGTATTATGGTTTGGTATCTAAAATACTCTCGGTGTCCTCTTATCAGCTGTACCACGTTTCTGTTGCTTTAGTAAGGTTCTTTCCAATGCAAATTTTAAGACGACTGTTATAAAGCCTTATGTATTTTATGCCTAAGTTTTGCAAAATAAAGGGGGGGGGTGTGTGATTTTATAGGATTTCATCAGCTCACATCAGTGTGTTTTGTTACTTCTCCCCACCACTTAAAAATCATTCGTTTTTAGTGTCTTGGTACATCTCAAGGAAGAGTCAAGCACTTGACCTCCAGCATCCTCAGTAGGATGTGGCTGTGACCTGCATTTCAGAGTGTCCTCTGCATGAAGTAGTCTTAACAGTGAAGATCAATTACTCGGGTACAGCTTCATGTTTGAAGATGCCCAGCTATCCTGTGTTTACAAGTCAGTTGTGTTCTTCAGCAACTTCCAGTTCTGTGCATATATCCTGGGCTCCCTTCTTCCCCTGCTACACTAACTATCCTGCCTGTCACACTGTGGATCCACCTAGGGGTAAGGCAGAGCAGAAATACCAAACTCTCACAGTTCCCTTTTCTTTCCAGAGGGAGGCTGGATCTTCTTTTGTCTGCACTGTTGACAATAGTTAAGTGAGCCAAGAGATTCTGAAGTCAGAGGCATCTGACTGACATCCTGCTCACATAGACAACTTTTTCCTAGGAATCAAAAGGAAAAAGATACAGCAAATACAAACAGTTGGCTATGCAAGGAACTAGTTTTCTCAGGAGTTTGTGGTATAAAAAAAATGGGGGGATTTTCCAGCAAGATTTAATGCATGCCATAAACAAGGTCTTAGAACCATAGAATGCTTTGGGTTGGAAGGGACCTTTAGAGGTCATCTAGCCCAACCCCCTGCAGTGAGCAGGGACAGCTTTAACCAGATCAGGTTGCTCAGAGCCCCATCCAACCTGACCTTGAATGTTTCCAGGGATGGGGCCTCCACTACCTCTCTGGGCAACCTGTTCCAGTGCTTCAACACCCTCATTGTCTTACTAGGAAACTCCTCATTATATGAGTTAGGAATCTGATTAGGAATTCTTCATCAGTTAGGAATCAAATCGGTCAATTACCAATCTCCTAAATTAGTCTCCTATAAAGCAACTGACATCTAGCCAATTCACAGGGAACCCTAAGCAGCTCCACAGACCAATTACACTCGGGCGTATGAAGGAGGCAGGCAGTTGTGGCTCACAGAGCCACATTGTGTCCCTCCCCTTGGTGCTATCTTGTTCTTGGTTCAGTTAGGATTGTAGAGACAGATTCTCAGGTAATTTGACAACCTAATATCTTAACTATAAACCTAATTACACAGAATTTTGCACAAAGTGTTGGTAATACCCAGCTTTTCTTCAGCAATTGCTCTCTTAATCTTCAGTGATTTCTGGAAATGTTCTTGCAAGCCAATGACTTCTGCTCTGCTAGCTTCTTGAAGCAAGCTGTGAAAGCAACGTGTAGGGGAAAACACAGGCATATAGATCTCTGCACAGCACAGTGCTCTCATCTGCCTATTGTACTACTGATGGGTCTGACTACACTATGCAATGGAGGGGGGACAGCTCAACGCTGCACCTCACTTCGGCTAGGTGTTCCCTTTCTGCCAGTTCCTAACGATTCGCTTGGGATGAACAGCATTTAGCAGTCCTTTAACTAGGAAGTTTTCCTTGTTAGCTTGAAATGCATGAGAATGTGTGAGATAAGCTGAGCCACCAGCAGAACGAAAGAGAAACCGGTTGTGGTTTAACCCCAGTAGGCAGCTCAGCCCCACACAGCCGCTCACTCACTCCCCACCAGGGGAGAGAACTGGAAGGGTAAAAGTGAGAAAACTGGTGGGTTGAGATAAAGACAGTTCAGTAATTGAAATAAAAGCACACACAAGCAAAGCAAAACAGGGAATTCATTCACTACTTCCCATCAGCAGGCAGATGTTCAGCCACCTCCAGGAAAGCAGGGCTCCATCACGCGTAACAGTTACTTGGGAAGACAAAATGCCCTAACTCTGAACGTGCCCCCCCTTTCCTTCTTCCCCCAGCTTTATATGCTGAGCATGACATCATACAGTATGGAATATCCCTTTGATCAGTTGGGGTCAGCTGTCATGGCTGTGTCCCCTCCCAGCTTCTTGTGCACCCCCAGCCTGCTCGCTGGTGGGGTGGGGTGAGGAGCAGAAAAGGCCTTGAGTCTGTGTAAGCACTGCTCAGCAATAATGAAAACATCCCTGTGTTACCAACACTGCTCAGCACAAATCCAAAACATAGCCCCATACCAGCTACTATGAAGAAAATTAACTGTACCCTAGCCATAACCAGTACACAGGTTTTCTGTCCAATTAATTTGAAAATTTCTGTTAATTTCTGCACCGAAAGCTCAACTGCAAGTGTTACAGGTGTTTTCAAGTGGAGACTCCAGCCCACACAAAAGGCCTTATTTGTATTCACTTCTCCATTGTATAAAAATGCTATTTAAAGGCCCTCGCACCTGGGAGACTGTCAAAAGTCTTTCTTCTGGCAGTGTGACCAACTAAAAAGAAAACAAGAAAGGAGCTCAAGGCGTTTCCAAGTCTCATCTGTGCAGAATCACTCCAGAATTTCTTTCCAGAATTGCCAAAGTCCCATTGATTCAGGTGGCTTAATAAACCTATTTTCTCCAGGAAGCTCTTCCTTGCACCTTGCTCAGGCACACCTGAGTTTTTGTGGTTAGTTCTAGCTCTTTTCCTGCAGCTTCAAAGGGGTTACAAGTCTCTTCCCTTACTACATCTGAAGTGCTAGACAAGAAGGGGGAAAAAAAAAAACAACCAAACCTCCCCAAACACTTACACTCTTACATAGTGTGTACGCTCTTACAAAGCAGCAGCCAGCTGTACTCCTCAGGCTCAGGCATTTCAGGACAGCGGCAATCTCTTGAGTTCAACAGGAACTTGTATACTGACATTCATTTTCATATGCACCATGAACAGCTTTGATGCAGAGAGAACGCATAGCCAGAAATCCCAACTCTACCAATATCTAATGTTCCTCTGGTGCCATTTAGCGGCCTATGGCTGTAATGCTTCTCCACTGTGGGACACACTTCTGTAATGTCATCAGTTAAGTTGGTAACACAGGCCTTTGTTCTGAGGATATGCAAATACAAATGCAAACATGTTAAGTACCTGTGCATAAATACAATGAATATCAGGAAACAGTGTAAGTTACCTACTTGCTAACGAAGAAAACTTGGTCAACATCTCTTGCAATGCAGATGCTGGTGTCCTAGCTTGCGGCTTGTTCCTGCCTAACCATGGATAAGTGTGACAATTACAGAGAACAGTGGGAAAAGAATGTCTCCTCAAAATGTCCAACTCATAAGCTGCAGCATATGAAAAGTTGAGCTGAAAAGTCAACTTCAGTCTGACAAGAGTACAAATCCTTCTCCTTCTTCTCATGTTGGAAAAATAAGAAAGCTAAATAAATACAGGATACTTACCTTAGGGTAACGGTGGTTCTTGGTTCTATGGGATGTCATGCAAAGAGGAGTACTAGGGGAACCACTGTCAGTAACTGTTGGAATAATTCAAGTAAGAATCTGTTAACTGCAAATCAGTGTTGTTCCCATTCTGTACCACTGAAGGAACTAAGTGTTTTGGGGAAAAGGATCAGAACCTTCCAGCCTGAACCATGAATGCAGGGGCTTGCACTGAAGGTGGTATGCACAGCCCCAGGCTGAGAGGACTGGCAAGAATTTGGCACCTCTGTGCCAAGAGAACTTCAGTGAGACCTACATAAAGGGAGTACTCTTCAAGGGTAAGCAGCTTCGTTTCAATCTCTACCCCCATTTTATCACAAATATAGAAGGCCGACATACACAATAAAACCCCAAAGTGCCAGAAAACATGAACATATTCATTTAAAGTGCGGCTCACATTCAAATATTCTGTCTAGAGGTTGATGAGCTATTCTTCATTTGTGAAGTTTTTCATTCTCAAGCAAAAGGCTTTTCAAATTGCAGCAGAAGGTACTCTGTAAGCATTCTGTTCTAGATTTAAGCATCGCACATTTACTGTGCAAAGTCAGCCCACAGCTTGTAGTGCACATCTGCCACCTTGAACTGCTTACATATAAACGCAGCAGCAAACAGCCCAGCACAGCCTGATCAAGTTTTTAAATCAACTTCTCAGCTTCTACAGCCACCACTTGTGCAGATACCAACTCACTAAGCTTGTGTACCTTATAACAATCACTAAATTTTAGCAAAAAAAGGCCTAATCTTAGGTTTATTATAGAACACTGTAGTATAGAAGATGACATCTGGAACAAATCACACAAGATGACCAATATACTGAAAAATGGCACGTTATACATGTTTATTATCAAATTTACATTCCACTATGAAACAGTAAGTGCAAAAAGCAAATGAAAAAAATACCATGAAGTTCGCAGACTGTTCAAACATTGTGTGTAATCCCCTTGTGTAACAGCCAATTGAGGCCCAAACCCAATATTCTCCTTCCCTCTCTGCTGCTATTTGACGCCACTAGACTTAACTTTGACCACAGGTATTTTGAGCATGGAGGCATCACTGAGTTTATCAAAACCAGTGAAACTAGAAAGCTATAAATTTGTGCTTGGTTTAAGCCAATCTGAATAAAGGTAAATACTACAAGAATTTCCTTCTGTCTCTTGAAACTTTGACAAGCATGGGTAAGTCCTTTCTTTCTAGCATCTGTTTTTGTCTCAAACCTACAAGATAACAGAACCTTTCTGAAATGCAACTCTCCATTCCTTCTAGTTCTGCCTCCCGCTCAACCAAATCACACTTGTGCAGG